AAATTGCTTTTAATCGAAGAAAAAAAAATAAATTTTGAATGAAACTCTGATTGTGTTTTTTGTCAAATTCGTTTTAAGTAAAATAAATAAAGAAAGATTTAAAATATTTCAATTAGAAAATAAATTTTTTTTCATCAATAAAAGTAAATCGAATTTTTCGAGAAAAGTTCTAATACGAAAAGATCTTCTTTGTTGAAATTGATGAATGAAATAAAAATAATAACAACAAATATGTGAAATATTATATAATTCTCTTAAAATAATTATCTCATTATAAAAACGAAGATGACTTTAATGTCTTTTAATTTTCATTTTCATTTGAAAAGTAAGAAGAACCTTCGTGAGATAAATGAATTAAAATCGAATGAAAAATTGATGTTATCCATCTTTTGAAAAATAATTGAACAAAATATTCAACAAGCTTGTTATATATGAATGAAAATGTAAGAGAAAGAATATTTTAAGATCGATAATTAAATATTTCTGATAAATTCTATTTATTTTCATCGAGGACTTTCGATGAAAAAAGGGAAAACAAATTCATTTTCTCAATTCAAACAGAAGATTTCAATTTTTAAAGAAAATCTAAAATGAAATAAACTTACTTGGATTGATTTGGTTTGTTCCTACTAGTGTTTGTTGCATTCGACGTATTGATGATGTATATGTTAATTGATATCTAAAATAATTAATGAAAAGATTAGAAATTTATTTTTGTTTTTCAAATAAATTGAATTTCTAATTCATTTATATTTTTAGCCAAGATAAGAAAAAAAGAGAAATATTTTATGTATTTCTTTCAGTAAGATGTTGAATATACTTCACAATTAAGAATATTCGAGATATAGAATATGCTCATAATCTTGTTACATTCTTCATATATTGTATAACTAAAATTTTAACGTACATGTATTTTTAAAAAAAATATAAATCTTTATTCAAATGTATAAACTGAATTCTATTCTTTGATACGTACTTAAGAAGTTTTATTTGAACTGAAATTTTTTTAAATAAATACTTTTAATGAAGAACATTTATAGTAAAAATTCCAAACTCAATACATCGATTTAGATTTAAATATTGACCTTTCCCAGTGTTTATCCTTAATTTTCAAAAGAATGTCGAAGATTCATTCCAGCATTGGAAGTGTTATAGAAATCAAGACAATTTTAAACTAAAGAAAACATCTATGTACAAAGTTTTTCCAGACGAAATTTTCGAATTTCTATTGTCTTTATTTTTTCTAAAGATTTTAGTAAAATTTCAACTGAAAATAGGCTAAAGCTAATAATCAACATGTTGTTAAATCTCTCATTCTTCTGTCAGAACGATAGTTTTTATCAATTCTTTCCGGTTTTTGTATTACATTTATCATTCATTATATGAGAAAACAGAGGTACTTTATTTTTTATCTGTTATGTTAGTAGATATTCGGTGGTTTATATAAAAGTACTACAGTTACCATAACATTCATGGAAAGATAGTTTTTCTGAATACAAAAAGGCTAATAAAACTTGATTTTGAAGTTAATCTATTCAATAGTAAACGAACCATTAGTAACCATTCAATAAAACGAAGCATTTTGGCTCGGTATGTTTGGATTTAGATGCAGCATAAGTTTATGTCATTTCCATGAAAAAGAATTGATGATCGAAAAACTATCGATTCTGTCTATAACAAGGTATTAAAAATAATTAAATCATTACCAACCAAAACAAGCGAATGTGTAGTTAGGATTGAGGATGTGGGTGAAATAGAACAACCACATTCTAATCATCTGCGTCTGTAACCATTTCAGTTTATAATGATTTAATTATATAAAATAAATTCTTATAAAAATCGCACATGTTCACCCAAACTTTAGTTCAGGATCGTTACATCACTGTTATCTATTGATATAAATTTGTATTCTTTCTCAATTATTTATATTAAACCCCCCCCCCCCCCCCTATAATAGAAGCCCACCCCATATTAGAAGCCCACCCTGAGATGAGCAACGTGTTTGACGTATTAGAAGCCCCCCTAATTTTTCCAAAATTTTTTAAAATTTTTCATAATTTTTTCGAATTTCTTTGCTAAAGTCGCTAAAATTTCTCGATTTTAAGGTAAAATTTCGACTAACTCCTATCTAACTATGCTTAAATCTGGAAAAATTGCAAAAAATCTTCTGAAAAACTCATGAAAACCTTGGAAAACTTTAAAAACCTTCCGAATCGGTTTCCTTATCATAGTCTATGAAATTTTTTTGGGACCTAATAGAAGCCCCCTCCAAAAATTATAAACGGTAGCCAAATTAGAAGCCCAGGGGGCTTCTAATATGGGGGGGGGGGTTTATTTCAAAAAAAAAATTTCTCATATTTAAACCAAATTGTTATTTAGCACTCGGACAGATAAAACGTTGTAGTAGCACACTTTCACATTGAAATAGTATCGAAACATATAATCGGATAAAAAAGAAATCCATTATTATCTCGTCGATACAACAGATGTATGTACACATATAGGAGAAACTATTCCACTATTAAATCTATACAATTTTTTAAATCCAGTTAGAGTCCATCGAAAGTTTGATTTGAGTAAAAACGTCAACATGAATGAGGAGACTTAATGTAAAAAGATGAGTATGATTGTATGTCTATCTATTCTTTAGCTATACCATCATCTTCATTCTCAAGATAGTTGTCCTATGATATTCTCTATGCTCATTTTTCATACTATTTCAAAACACTTAGAACTTACTAAGATGGGACTATTTCAAACAATTGAATTACTAAACTTGTGATGTTTTGTATAATTATTTCGTGTCTCACTGTGAATTTCTTTTTCGGTAAATAAATTCTCCTAACTGTTTCGTAAAAAAATAACATTTTATGTTTCGTGTGGTTCTTTTCAACTAGACATTTGATTTAAAAAAAGAAAATGTGACAAAACATTTCAAGTGAAGAAGAGAAGAAAAATAACAAAATAACACATTTTTACTTTTGATCTAATGGATTTTTAGTATTTCATAATGAGACAACACGAGAAAATGATAAGTAAATAAGATGAAAAAAAATAAGATTTTGAAAGTTAAAAATAATTTCGACTAAAAATAACACTTTCATTAGTTTCATTTTGTTAATTAAAGAAATTAAGAATCTCAAATAAATTTTTCAACAAAAGAAAACCTTTCGAAAATAAAAATACTGATAAATATAATTATTTGATTGAAAAAGAAAAACCATATCGAAATAAATAAGAATAAGATTTAATCATAAAAACGAAAGTATTGAATATAATTGGATATTCCAAAATGTATTCACATATCTCAGAATGGATACATAATAGAATTTTGATTTTTTCTCTTAAAAGATTCGGTATAAAAAGCTCTAGAAAATGATGACACGAAATATTTACGATGATTGAAATTAATGATCTTTTTCATAATCAAAACAAAAAATGTTACATAATAAAATATGTTTGTAAAATGATTTATTATTTAAAATAAATTTTTTCATAGAAATTATATAAGTTTTGAAGAGAGATTTTTTTAAATAAGTTTAAACGGTTATCATATATCTATATATATGTCAAATAAGATATTAAATTATTCTTTTATATTCTGAAATTTTTCTTTAAGAATTTTGTTAAAATCTAATTGAGTTTAGTTTTATATTAAAACAATAATAACCATTCAATTAATATCCTATAGATGAAAAAATGATTTAATATTGTATAATATCGAATGAAAAGGTTTTTTAATTGAAATAATAATTAAAATTCAATTTTACTTTTAAACAATAATATTAAATCATCATCATTAATCTTTACAAATTCGACAAAATAAAAAAAAACTGTTTCGATTCATGAATTTCCATCCGAATATGTTATTGTTAGTAAATATAAAGAATAAATTTTTTTAGTATAAATTCATACAAAGAAATAATCATTAAAAATAATTTTATTTGAATTTCTTCATAGAAATATTTCAATTTAACAATAACTGAAGAAATTTGACATCAAAGTTTTATATTTTCAAACAAAAGACATTTTCCTCTAGTTGAATGTATTGTCGACAAACAAACCCGAGAAATTCTTTAAAAATTGATTTCATTATGAAATATAAGTTTTTTTATCAAATATTTGTCAACTTCAACTAGTTTTAGTCTCGTAATAAATAGTTTTTGTGATTTTTTAAAACATTTCAAATTCGTTATTCAATTATTCTCAAAAAATTCTACTTCGAAATGTCAACATGATTGATTAAGAAGTATTAACAACAAAATTCACATCTTCGAATTGTTTTTCTTTACATCAGATATCAAAAAATATAGAAGAAAATGAAGAAAATTTTTATTTGATCAACAATCTTGGAAATGAAAAATCAAATTTGAATTTTGTATTATTTCGAAATTCTTCTTTTTTGTTTTCGTCTAAATGAAAATATTCATCGATTTTATTTTGACAAATCATTTTTTCAATTTAATTGTTATTAAAAATGTTTTAAAAAATAAACAAAAACAAATGAAAGATCTAAATCTTGATTAAAAGCCATAATAAATATTTAGAATATGAAAATAAAATCAGTTTGTTCTTCTTATAAATGTGCTGGACAATGCATGTGTATTGCCTTCTTACATCGGGGACAATTCTTGTGACGAGTGATACATTCACTGCATAAGCTATGACCACAGCATGGCGATGCATCCTCGTAGCTCATTGCAAAGCCATCAGTATCTCGTTGGCATTTGCAACAAATGCCAAGTGTACGAACTGCATCTAAACGAGAAGTGAATTAGTAAAAGGTTATATCATAGCAGGGTTTTGCAAAGTAGAAAGTTTTCATAAGTTTCGAATGGCTTTTTATTAGCAAAATCTAGTGCGATTATAAGTAAAATAGACATCACCAATGCTCAAATCCAAAGCGTTTGGAGGTTTGGGTACTAAATCCAAACCAAAACCTAAACTCACCAAACTAAAACAGTGTGGATTTGGGTCATGCTTAAAGTGGAAGACTTGCACGATAAAAAAGTGATTTGATTTTCCATACATAAACTCTTACTTCATCGTACTTCCTGGTAAAAATCAAGACTATCGACAGTCACTTAGACAGATAATAATTGATATTAACAGATCATCAGCTGTTTCGATACCCGTGACTTGCTGTTATAATGCAAAGTTTTGAAACAGCTCACAGTAGCATTTAAGTAAACACCTACCTGGATCGAAGACTTCATCCTTTTCCTGTACAAGGGGTTTGCCATCGACCACTTCAAGGCCATTAAGATCAGGCAAAGCTAATTCCAGGTTACCATCACCTACGTCCGCAGTATAACGATCGTCGACTGCTGTCAAAGTTTCTTGTGACAGGTCGCCTTCTTCATTAAGATTATCTTCTTCGTCAACGTCATCGTCTTCCCAAATAATATCTTCATCGCTATTATTTTCCTGCTCGCCACTATCGTCTAATACACACCAAGAATTGAACCTTTTTTTTAAAAGTCCGTTATAAAAATTACAAAAGGTGGGGTGGCGTTAAGTGATGAAATCGACCCCTCTTTGGCGGTTTGATGTCAAAATCTCGAAAGTAAAAAATCTCGAAAATTTTGAAAATCGACGTTGAAAGTAGCACCATTTTTCGAGATTTTTACCATTCGAGATTTTTTACTTTCGAGATTTTGACATCAAACCAGTTGAACTGTTTAACCCATAAATATAAATTCTCGCAGTATGCGTGAAAAATGAAAGCAACATCATACCCATTCGTTCTTCAGCTTCAGAAGCATTTTCGGTTTCTGCAGCATCAGGAGAGATCAGTGTGTAATTACCTAGAACACAAAAAGAAACGAAGAATAGAAGTTGTATTTTGTTTGGTCGTTTCATAATAAGATTTATCAGCAGAATTTAACTTTAACGATTCTAACAAAGCTTGTTGAAAATCGCATGTTTTGTTTAAACTCTGCAAAAGATTGTTCTCTTACCATGAAAAACAGGCAAAACCGCATCGACTTGTTGATCACAGTCTGGGCATGGCTGAGATTTATTTGAACACTTATGACAAGCCGTAAGGTGGAAGCAAGTAAGATTCAGCGTCTTTATTTCATTTTTTCTACACACTTTACAGCACCCAAAAGTTAACTTGCGGCCACCACTTCCGCTCGCACGACGTTGCTTTAAGCAGATACCTACAAAAGCAACATCATTTCTTTAAATATAATCTGAAAGTAAGTTGTTTATATTTATACTCACCCACTGATCGATTGGGACCAGATACTTGAAGAGTGGATTTATACTTTTTGCCGACTTCTGTCGTCTTCCACTTTAATAATTCACGATGAGGACTTGTGTCCATTTTCAAAGTCCGTTTGTGATGACTATAATTCACCGGAGTTGGATCACGACGATTGAAGCAAGGTTCATTTTTCACGAGTTTTTGCTTCGTCATTCTTTTATAGATCTGAAATATATCACTTAGGTTATACCAAAAGTCATTAGGGTACTATACCAATGTCTTAGAGAAGCTTGAGGAAATTTTCTTTTTTTATCGACTGATAATAAAAACAAAGCTCTACATTTTACACTATTTGATTATTATTCATCTAATATCATAATTTTTATAGTTTACCTTAACTCATAAGTTCGTTTAGGTACAAAAGCATAATTTTTTATCTTTATTTATAGTAAAAAATATAGTAAACTAAGTTAACTAACTGCGGATTACACAACAAAATATATTTATGTTACTAGGGAAAACACAGAAAAAAATAAAACAAAAGCGGCACGACAGAAATATAGGAAAGATGAATGTAGTCACTCTTTTAAGAAAACTAACGACTTGTGGGAAAACATCGAGCCAATTAAATAAGCACAATGAACATGATAATTAATAGCTATATAGATGTCAGACCATAACACACTCTTAAAAAGGCTTTGTAGGTTTCTAAAAGGTTCAAAATGCGTTCAAAGGTCTAAAACACGATTGAAAAAGTCTACAAAACCTTAAAAGAATCTGGGCACAGACAAAGTTAAACTATGTACCGTAAAACTCATTTTTAAGTTCCGTACAACGTAAAATGGCTTTGTAGAGAAATATGAAACCTTTAGAGTTTCCTATTAACTCGTAATGGTTTCGTAAAAACCATACTACGAAACTCATATTTAATAGGAAACTCTCTTAATCAAATAGAAATTTTATTTGTCAATGAATTTTTCTTAAATGTTATACAATAGAAACAATGAATGAATCAATTCTTCATTATTTTCTTTGAAATAGAATCTTCTCGATAAACTTATTTATTAGAAATTGACCAAATAACAATGAAAATACATATGAGTTAATGCAAAAGTGTTTTGGCTTGGTGCTTCTAAAAGACTCGGTTTAAGTTGAAATATTGTGTTATAATGTTTAAACATATTTAGGAATATGTGAAAATTTTCAAACTTCTGAAGTCTTGTGTTCTGGTATGATCTATTATTTCTTTGATATCATAGCAGAATATCAAATAACTATGTTTTATCTTTCAGTGTTTAATTCCTTAATATACCGTACTAAAAAAAGTAAAACATATTACAAGATGCAGCATAAAGAGCTCTACAATTCACATAGGATCGCTTTATTTTTCTGGTTACACATTTTGCTTTGAATATAGACAAAATTTTGAGTTGTAATATTTCGGCGATATAAGAACAATCTCTTTTGGTAAAAAATGAATATGTTTTTTTCTTATTTCATCTCTTTTTCGTGTAGTATATATAAAAATAAAATATATCGAATAGCTATAAAAACTACGTAATCGATAAAAAGATGTATTAAGAACTTTGTAGTGTCAAAATTTGATCGCTAAAGCGTGTCTTTAATTACAAATCTCTTCAAGATCAAACAAAATAGAATTGGAAAACGATAAAATCTGTCAATCAGAATTATCAAATTAAATTCAATTTTAAAGAAAAACAATCAAAAACATTTTTCTTCGATTTTTGCATTGATTTTTAACAATAAAACTTCACTTTTTCCTTTTTTTTTATTTGTCGATTTTTATTCAAAAAAAATTCGTTTACAAAATTATTTCAAATTTCTTAATTTCATAATTGTCACAATCAGCAATATAAAGATTTCCTTCATCATCAAAAGATAAACCACAGGGACCACACAATTGATCTCTTTGATCATTTTCACCAACAACAATTTCACCTTCTTTTTTTTCTTCACACCAACGCATTACTCGATCATTCACACAATCTGCCACATAGATTCGACCTAAATCATCAACAAATACTCCTTCAGGTTGAGACAATTGATTGAGATTTCTTCCTTGACCATTTCCCCCAGCCACAACTGTTCCTTTTTTTGCATCTTTTCTCCATTTTATCACACGATGATTGTTTTGATCTGATACATAAACAGATTGATATTCATCAACAAAGATAAATTTAGGAAAATCAAGTTGATTGAGTTCATTTCCTTGTTCATTTCCACCTGCCACTACAATTCCTTCGTTGTTGTATTTTCCCATTTTCCATCGTCTAACTTCATTCTTCTTCCAATCAGAAACATAAAGATATCCATGTTGATCCATTGCTAAACGAGAACAGTTAATATCATCAATGAGAATTTGTTGATTTTGATTCAACCATTGAATCACTCGTCTATTTAAAGAATCAGCAATAATAATCGAGTGATTTTGTTGATCAACAATCACATGTGTTGGATAATTCAATTGATCCATTTGATTTCCTTTGCCATTTCCACCTGCAACAATCTGTCCTTGTTTTGCATTATGTTTCCATTCAACAATACGATGATTCCAATAATCAGCAATAAAAATATTTTTCTTTTCATCAATAAAGATTCCTTCAGGGTAAAAGAGTTGTTTTACTCCTTCACCTTCTCCATTTCCACCAGCCACAATCATGGCATTTTGTTTCCATTTGTTAAATGTTGGCTCTATAACAGAAAAGATTAATTCTGAATGAAACTCTGATTTTGTTTTTTTTAATCAGACATTTTTTGAATCATTGTAAAAAGTTTTAGTTTTTAATTAAATATTATTTCATATCTTATCATTCATTTTCTTTACATATGAATAAATTGACTTGTCTATTTCTATTAATACTATTCTTATTGATTTCATTTAGAAATAAATCTATAAATATTCTCAATATTTCTTTATTTTCTTTATCATTATTTTTCTTAGTATTACAGTTGTTAACGTAATTTCATAGAAAATGAGAATTGTTCTTTTAGAAACTATTTAGTAAAAACTTACTTTTTGTTGAAATAATTAAACTTTCGTTAAAAAATGATCGTAAATCTTCTTTAACAGTAATTTTTGATGGATTATTTAATTCTTGTCTAATTTTCATCAATTGATTTCTTAAATGATTTAAATTAATTTCATTTAAGTCAGTTTCTTTCTGAAAGTGTTTTATTTGTTCCGTTAAATCATTAAATTTCATTTCAATATTGCTAAGACATGTTTGTGATGATTTAATAAGGATTTCTCTATACTCTTGTGCTTTTTGTTGAATTTTTTCAATTGATTTTATTTCCCATTGATTAATTTGTTTTATTAACAGATCATTTTGCGGATTTTGTGTTTGTTCATGAATTGTTTGTTTAAGTTTATTATATTCAAAGGTGATATGAAGTAATTCTTTAGTTAATATTTGACGATGTTGTGTTAAATCCACTAAGCAAAATTCTTTTGAACATCCTTTACAAGGATATGTTATTTTTTCCTTATTACATGTAAAACATAGCGTTTTGTTCTTTGCCATTGCCATGTCTTTGAATAGAAGTTGCTAGAAGAAATGAATATATTCGTATCTGCTTTTATACATGTTGCAGTCAAAATTAAAGTTCAGTCAATTTTCAAATATGACTAGTCGAAATTGAATTTCTATTTTCGACTAGTCAAATTCGAAGTTAGCTGAACTTCAATTTTGATTATAGCATAAATATAAACTAAATGACTTAATGATAATAAAACTAATAGAACTGATATAATATCTAAGATGCTTGAATACAAGTAGGCAATCGATCCTATTTAAGTTTAAAATAAAAAATCAAACAATTTTTGTGATATTTATTCAATGAAAGAATATTTTAATGTAGATCTGGATGTAATTAAGGATTAAACATAGATCTTCATCTACAACTTTGTCTACTAGATGAATGGTATATCAATCTCTTATCCACTCAACTGCATTGTCATGTTCACTTTCGTTGGCAAAATAGTTATTGTGTATTACTCTTCTTCATTCATTTTTCGTATTATTTTAAAAACCAAACTTATCAAAATGAAAGTTTTTCAAAGAATTGAATTTCTAAACTTGTGGTTTTTTGTATAATTATTTCGAGATAATCAAGAATTTCTTTTTCATCAAATAAATTGTTCAAGAAAAGAAAATCTATCGAAAATAAAAATATTAATAAATATAGTGATTTAATTGAAAAAGAAGAACAGTATTGAAACAAATAAATAAAATAGGATATGATCAGATTTAATCATACAAACGAAAGTATTTTTTATCTTAGTTTTCATCTGATAAATTTTTTATAATTTGGTTATTTTCAAATATGCATTAGAGTCTACTATAATTATCGTACAATTGTCAACATTTTTAATTGTATAGAGGATAGTTTTTTAAGATAAAAGAATTTGAAATGAATGCCATTTAGTATCATCTATAGATGAAAACAATTTTTTTCACTCAATTTTTAGTTACAAACGTTTACTCTTTTTAACAATATAATTTAATCATCATTTCAATTCTGATTTATCAATTCAAACTTTAACACAACAATCTAAACGTATATTTTGTCTATTTCATTTAAGAACCTTTTGTATTGAATAAAAACATTAAAATAAAAGATGAAAAACATTATTTTTTCTGTTTAATATTTCGACAGATTTTAAATGTATCATTTTCTCGTAAAACTATAAAAAATAGTCTTTAGTATTTCATTAATCATGATTAAGAGTTTCTCATTTTGAAGTTCGAAGACGATGTGAATGTCGATAAATTTTCTCTTATCGCACATCCACCGTATTGCTTTTTCATTTTCTTACTTCATTTGCAGTCAATTTGTCGTCAGCTACTATTATCATTGTCACAGGTGTTTGCCGAGAAACTTTATCTGTAACTCATCAAAATTAGATCGAACATCTTCCAAAAAGAACTCAATGATCAACACTAGTTTATTATTAGTCCAAATATTCTGATTGATTATTTCACCTGTAATTCTCTTCATTATATTCACCCTACCATCAAAACTATATAGAAAAGAATTTAGAAAAATTTTAAATAGCTATGTTATCAATCATGAATTCATATTTCTATACATTTCGTTCTTTTCATAAATTACTTTTCAAATCAATACAAACGTGTTCGTGTACTATCAGAATAAGATGTATTGAAAAATCAGAACGAGAAAATATAAATGCATTTGATTATATAAAATTTCACGGAATTGTAGAACATGCGATTCATTTTAGATATAATATAAACATACAAAGAATTCTATCTATCATAGATTAAGATTGACATTTGAATGAAAACTATGAATATAAAATTGATTACACAGTCAAAACCATCTTGAATGAGTATTATTTTGACAAACAATTACTAACATTCGTAACCATCTCATACCTAGACTACCACTCTCAATGAGTGAATGCTGGTATTGAGGCATTGTAACAGAGTGAAGAAGAAATGTTTATGTAAGTAAAAAGTAAACTGTATAGTTGCGAAGAAAAAGAAGATTATTTGTCATGAATGTTTCTTTTCAGTGTGGAGAATGGAAAAAAAGAAATTACTTTGAGCATTATTCACTATTAAGACACAACTAAAATATGAACTCTGAAGTTAAAGAGAAATTATTTATTTCGAAATTTTTCTTTTTAAACATTTTCAAATAAGAATGTGAACTAGTTGTTCATTATTGCAAATCAACATGATATTTTGAGGATAGGAATGTTATTTATGATCTCCAACGTCAAAATTATAATTAAATGCTTTCATATTTTTCTGTTCGGTCGAAATGAAATTGACATTCTTCTGGTATAATTAAGGTGCGAAGGTACTTAAATTTGTCATTTTACCTCGCGATGATCTTGAGAACGATTGATCAGAAAAAAAATTTAAATACGAGACTAAAACCATTTGTTTTTCAAACTTAACTTTTGATTTTTCTGAGATAATTGTAATGAAGTTTTGAAGAAGAAGAAGAAGAAGAGAAGCATATGATGGACTTCACACCTCATTCTGCATTTTGAATGAAGTCGAGATGCTGTCCAGTTTATCTTTCTGTTTCTATATTTTAATAAAAAGTATTTCATTACCAACGGAGATCGAAGAGAAAAAGAACAGAAATGTCCATGCATACGATTTACTGCAAAGCATAATTACAACTAATAGCATATTACAGTGAAAACATTTTTGAAAGTGTTTTTTTGTGTTCATTTATGTTACCAATAAGCTCAAAGAAAATTGAAAGAATGAGAAAAAACAAATTCTTTTCAATACATACTCTCCAGACTAGTAACGTCAAAATATTCTGTTTGTATTCTAATATTGTGGCAACGTAATGCATTTTAAAGTATTAATGTTTATTATTGTGTGGATAGAATACAACTTTTATTTTGAATCAAATCAAACACACCTACGTAAAAAGATGAGAATAAATACTACAGTCAAATCTTATTCTTTTTATATAAAAACAATCGACAATTTTCTTGTAATTAATCATGGGTGAGACAGTAGCAGATAAAACCAGTAAAATCTTAGCTTTTGTCGCAGTTGGTTTTGGAGTTATTGCATTACTATTTCTTTGTATTGGTGTTGGTACAGTACGGTGGTATACTGCTGGTAATTCAAATGTTATAATTACCGGACTGAATTTCTTTACATATTGTAATTATGATGCAACAACTGGAAGTCAAACCAGCTGTGCATCACGCACTGCGACCTGGCATCCTGTTTGTGATACTAACAATTATCCGACAACAACTGTCGTAAATAGTTATAGTGATTGCAACAATCGTATGCGAAACGCTG